CATTATTGGCCACAGAAAGTTAAAAATTAACCTGAAACTTGCACAAATATGTAATCCATTCTATCATACGTTTTGTGTGAAAGTTATCATTTATTAACGTACTATGAAATGCATTTATGAGCATATTTGATATTGGCTTACATCGGTCAAGATGACATCAACATCAGATAAAATTGACCCACTGATTTTTACCTGTGTTGCACTAAGACTGTTATATTTTTGCGAATAAGGGATTTTTCCTTCTTCTTCTGCCTCCTGCACACTATTTCCTCCAGGATGGCAGCCTGCAACGCACACAATCAGGAGCTGCAAAGAAAAGTGTCACAGCTGGAGAAGTGCAACATGTGAGTGCTTGTAAAATAGAGCTTTTCTTCCCATTTTATTCTTGTGTAATCTACTGAAAACATGTCCTCTCCTCAAAATTGCCTCCAGCAGTAAACTTCCCCCTCTTGTTCCCCACAGACCCTTGTTAATCCAATTCTTTTTTTTTCTTTTCCATTTTCAGTTTTTTTCTAAATGTTTTGTCTTTTTTTCTCTCCTCTCTGCAGGTCACTAATGGAACAGTTGCGCAGGCTGCAAGCTCTGTTCATGAATACATCTAACAAGCCCGCCCAGACGGGGACATGTGTACTGGTATGGACGTCCTCTCTGTGTGCCAGGCAGATAAATAGACTGCCTAGACCCCCTGTATGACTCATTGTTAAAAGAAAATCCTCTCAATGCAACAGCTACAGCTGAATTAGTCATTGAGAAAGGCCTATTTAGATATGTGCACAGTGGACACAACATCACAAAGGACACAAACAGACACAGCCCCCATAAAGAGAAACACACAGTTTGAAAATCAGCCATTTATTACCTTTGATCACTGCAGCTGAAAAAAGAGCAAGACCTGGAGCGACATGAGTGGAGAATTTAAAAAATGTCGTTTCTAAAAATATGAACAGGGCTCGGCTCCCAGAATATTTTACTCCACAGCAAGGTTACTTTCTCCTGCACTTTTTGCACATATTCAAAGAGGGAATAGACATCAGCCATAGAAAAGCCCAACGGTGTGGAACACAGATTTTTAACCACCAACTTTTTTTGACTTGAGTGCAGCATTAAGTACATATTCTCTGTTCCGAATCTTTCTCTCTGTCCCTTGTATTTGATTTATTTTTCCATATCACACTCGTAGGTACTTCTGCTGTCCCTGTCGCTAATCCTGTTCCCCAGCCTCAAGCCCTTCCCCGACAGCAAGGTCAGCCAAGGAGACTTCAGTCCCGTCAGAAGTAAGTAACCTATGGCACCAAATAGATTTTTGTGTCCACCTGTCAGCTAATCCAGGGCCGCTCTGTCACAGTCGAGGAGCTTCTTAGAACTGCGTTCTCACCCACAGCTTGAGATGCTCTCGCCTGCTGGGCCTCACAGCACTGCTCTGCCTGTCAGAGGATTCAACTTCAGAATTTAAGATTAGAGCCGGTACATAGAGAACTGAATCCATGCATTATCTTTACAGATATGAGGCTAACGCTCTGTCAGCAGCTTTTGATGAATTACCATATATTGATATCGACTCTGTTGGCACAAACCCACAAACTCAGTTTTTAATTATGAGACAAAATGAGGATTTGCACAGCAGCAAGATGTTATTTGCTACAATAAGTTGTTTGTCATGAAAAATTGAATCACTCTGCACCTCCCCTTAGTTTAGACCAGAGTCTTATTTGTCTTCAGGTTTTTGAAGTCCAAGTTGTTCTGAATGGGCTCTTAACTTGGCCTGTGGTAATGATGGTTGGATATTTCTTTCTTAAAGAGCTGTTCACCTGTTTATTCAAAGTGCAGCGAAGCGCGACTCACCACTGTTTTGAACGCACATGTTGTGAATGCCAAAACTTTTCAAAAGCTTAAAATTAAGCATTACAGAAACAAAAAGAACGTTGTGCTTTCACTTTGTAGATCATTTCCCAGACAGGAAGTGATTCTATAGATGTTGTGGCCATGACAGACTTCGGCACCATCAATATCCAGAAATGTTTGTGTCAGTCCGACATAGTGAAATAATAATAATAATAATCAATACAATAATTAACAATACACAAGCCAAGTGTGAAGCCAAGACAGACAGACAGACAGGGATTTCTGGAAATTAGCAGAGGAAAAAGTTTATTAATCTTTGAAATGTCTTGTCCTCCCACAGTCCAGTCGCGGTCCCTGCAAAACCTCCAGGCTTCCCGTGTGCTCCGTGTCATTGACACCCCGTTCTCCAGTGAGGATGAATCAGAGCCACTGCACCGACATTTCCCAGGAGACCATGGACTGGAAGACATGAATACACTGATGGAGAAGCTGGCAGTGAACGAAGAGCACTCCAGTTTAATGACCGTGTCTCTAAACAGCAGTCGGGTGGAGGAAGTTGGCCACTTCCACGTAGATCCAATCACTGGTCACATAGCCACTGTGACCCTGGATCCCCACCGCTCCGCCAAGCTGCGGCCACATGCTGATGATATGTGAAACATATTAAGAAATTATCCCCACATGAACTCCCCAAAATGTCCCCCTCCTCATGGTAGACACAGAAAGGGAGATTGGGTTTCAATCATTGATGTTTCCTTTCATATATTTTCACTCTGTATGCCTTTGCCTGTCTTTCTTTGGTGTTACTGTTTTATATCAGTATTTGGATAATCGTACATTGAAATTGCCTGACAAGATAAACTGTGCATTTTGCCTGGCTTTGGTAAAATGTCAGTGTAAATTATTATGCTTGAGACCATCAAAAACCGTGATAGTGTCTACAGCTTGAGCTTAGTGGATAATTTGTAAAATGTTAAAGGATTTTGAAAACATGTTTTAGTGAATAATTGATTGTAGCTGATTTATTCATGGATAAAACCGCCTCAAATAAAAAATGTCAAAAAACATATTGGTGGGATCAAAACACTGTGGATTTATTTTCTCCATCAACTAGAGATTTAATAATTAAAGTGGCTCAAATCGCAAGGTGCAATATCTCCCTTGAGATTGTTTTAGAGATGCGATGTCATGAAAAGATGTGATGCCATGTTTGATCCATCGATTGAGATCCAAGGTCTGACTTTTTGGTTTCTGTGATTGAATGATGCCCTGTGGAAAATGAAGAGAATAGCAAAAAGAAAAAAACAATCATCACTATGTTTTTCATAAAAAACACATTCTTCCCAAAATTGTAAGACTTGTACCAATATTGAAACATCCCTGAAATATGGATTTTTAATACAAATATAAATCTTTGTGACCTTTTCCTCAGACTGATAAATCTACAGCTCTGACTGAACCTTGGAACAGCAGAATGATCATTTTAAGCAATGTTTTATATTATCCAATCAGAAATGCAACAGGGAATTTCATTCTACCTGAAATATCCTTTCTTTATCACAACGTCTGCCTTTTTGAACTTATTCATGAATCTGCCACATCAAGGCATCAAGAGGGAGGCTGTCAGGCACCGTTGGAATGTAACCACATCGGCTCTCAGCTGATAATTGGCTGAAGCTGTTGCGGCTTGTTCAAGTAAAACTTGTAAAATAAAGAATTGCCGCAGCATCAAGTGACGAACACAATCTGTTCTTTGGGGATGACATGTCCTTAAAGCTTGAGTTTACAGTCTCCTTAGAGTCTCTGTAAGTCTGCAATTGAATGTAATGATGACACTACAGGAAGAAAATCACAGAAATCATAATCATACTAAACTGTTCAAACTGAAGCCGGCTATGGTTTTCTGCGCGTGTGCTGGCGAATCATTTATTCAGTCCAAATGCTGTAAAATGACTGGTGGTGTTTAGTAGAGTCCTGAGAGGGCCACAGACACCAGCTTTTATTCTGTTTCTTTTTAAGTGACTTGATTCACTGATGACTATAGGGACATGAAGACGATTACAACAAATTACATTACAAATGTTTCACACACAATTTACTGACCCTACCTTTAAGGGGACATGAATGTCTGGGCATTATTTGATGGCAATCCATTCAATATTTGTTGAGATATCCTTGTCTGAAGTACAATTTACCACAGCTAACGTGGCTAAAATCATCAGGCTTCAAATGCACTTTACACTCTTTTAATGTTCAAATATGAGTACAAAAGTAAACACACTGTTATCTGAGCAGTTATTGGATTCCTCTACTTTATTCTTTGTAGCTGGAGGGATTCTTTTCTTCAGTCATTTCAAAGCCAATCACATTTCATTTATTAATGTCTGACTTTGTAAAGGGCTCGCCCCAAAGTTTTTGATTTACATGTGTATTAGTGTTGACTCTATGCAGAGGAGAGGACAGTTCTGTCAAACTACCAAAGTAATTCAAAACTAAAGTGGTACTGCAGAGGGTGATATCTTGCAGTGTCAAAGAAAGTGAAACCAAATTCCTGGATCTGCCCACTTGTCTGAATCCATGCCAAAACTTGTAACTGTACAGCGGCCTACCTCCCTGAGAAACCACATTTATATCTGCAAGATCCAGATTTTTATTTGGATTCAGTGCAAATCGCACACTCTTACACAAATTAGTATATATCATAAAAAAAAATTATATTATATCATGAGTCATGTTTGTTTGTCATGAATGTGACAAAAACTATGGGCTCTCTTACCTCGCTGCCTTGCCAAATAAGCACGTGCATCTGGGTGTTCCATCACTGCCAATCGAAGTCAGAGTCAAAAAAAAACTACAGCAGAGTCAGTTGGCCCAGGAAAGAATGCTGATTGTATCCATTCACAACTCAGACAAATGCCAGATGTTCGTGGGTGTAAGTGGATCTTTTGACTGGTGGAAAAGGTATTAGATCCATACATTTGTGTGATTTCGTTCATTCGGACCCGTGAATTATTTCCTGGGAAATCGATGAAAATGTCCAAACACTTTCAATCTTGCAATGTCAAAGAAAATGAAAAAAAAGTTGATGGATCTGCACCTTTGTCCTGATTGGTGCCAAAATATAGTGGATTCTTTCTTGGCCCAAGTCCCATTCTTCCACAAAGTTTAATGGTCATCTATTTAGTTTTGTTTAATCATACTTTTAAACTCACAGTAAGTTCTGGTTAGTGTGGATTAATGTATACTTTGTTGATTCATGATCTCTGAATTGCTGATCTCCATCTGTCCCCTGGCCTCCTTTATTAGTCTCTGTCTCACTTTGTCTTTAATCAAGGTAAAAGTCACTTGACCATCAGGATCTTTAATCAGCACCTTAACCCGTTCCTTTGATTAGCTGGATCCCTGTCGAGCCGGAAGGCCTCCACTGATTAGCTCCCACCGAGTTTGGTCAGCCACAAGGGAAATACAGGTCGACTGAGTGAGCGAATTCAAAGAGTGCCGTCATCTTTTTCTTCTTTTTTTTAATCTACAAATTGGTTCTTTCTTTGGGGGGGTGACGCTGACCCAGATCACCTTACTGTGCTTATTAACAAAATTGTTTTTCCAATTTCAGAGAGAAAGGGGGATTTGAACTTTTAAAATGCAAACTGGAGCTTCAGGGCTCAGAGTGGAATCAATATCTCCACCTTGGAGAAGTGGAAGAGCAATTAAAGTTTTACATTTCTTGGTCTTTATTTCTTTTTTTGTGTGCTTTTCTGCAGCAACACTAATTTAAATGATTTCAGGTAATAGGACTGTAGAGTAGCAAATGTTTTGACTAAAAATACGATTTCAAAAGTGGATTTTTTCTGTATGTGCATTGTAAAACTGTACCATGAACTATTTTGATTATATTTAATAAAGGCAACACCACTGGCAAAAAAAAAATTTCATGCACTGGTCAATATTCTGTTCCATGATAATGTGTCTTCTTTCAGACTAGTGGAGAGAAAACACTTGATTTTATTCTTATTCTTATTCCAAAGTTTTAACAGAGGGCTTTGTCTATATATCATTGATTGCTTGATTTATGTATCAATTTATTCCCTTTTTTAACATTACTCTGATTAATGGAGTGATACAAAGAACTTAGCTTTATACAGTGCTCTCATTTCTGGAAATGTGTTTGAATAAGTGCATATCTATTTAGACAGCACCTCCCTTAGCATGTTTAAACATTGAAATCACAGAAACTTTGTTATCAAAACGGATCATCATAATGTATGTAACAATGATGTCTATTATTTTATCATGCTCACCTGTGGTGTCTTTCTTTTAGTTAATCTACAACATCATATGGGATGAATGCAATGTCAATGTGTGCAGAATAAGATTTTATTCTTAACTGCCACTAAGTTTTTCCTGCAGGCTCTTTAATGCTACGTATTTCCATCTTTTATTGCATGAAGATGTTTAAATATCAGCTATCTGACTCTCTGCCCAAAGCAGACATCAAACTGAAGATGATCAGTCCCGGTATATCGACTGTGCGATAATAAAAGATTAGGAATTCTTCTCCACAGTTACATTGAAACAGGTAGTCTACACATATTTTATCCTGGTGATAAAAAGTTTTCCTTTAACAGACATAGTTCAACCTGGTAACAGCAGTTTACTGTAAGGACATATTACTCAACATGACTAATTTGTTAAACGTGATGAATCCACTTATGACTTAACAGAGTATGCAGACATCAGGCAGTTCTACAATTAATTGCAAAATCTAAAAGATTGAATAAAAGAATGATATAAACTTCTGCCTGGCCTCTGTGCAGTATTTCCTGTATAACCCTTCATTGTTGTTTTTACTTCCTGCTTACAAATTTAGTTCCAGTTGTCTGTGTCACCTGTGTCCTATCATGAATTAGTCCTCAGAGTATACAAAGACTCCTCCTCCACCACCACACTCTCATTACACTTCAACACATGCTGTGGTTCAGCCAGGTCAGCATGTGTCTTGTTAAAAGTAGATATTCCTTGTGTACCCTGTTTTTTTGCCTTCTCCTGCCTTTCTGTCTGCTTTCTTTGCCTCATCGAACCACCCTCAGTGTGTGACCTTTGGCTAAAGATGTTGATCTTTGAAGCGTTACATTTTCTGACTCGTCCCTTTGAGTCTAAAGTTTAAGAGTGTTTCTTTTATTGTTTACTGTTGTCTCAGCTTTCTGCAATTTGTCTGAGAGTCCGAACTGTCCCCCAAAAAAATTTTCACACTGCAAAACAAACCAAAGCATGGTTCAGTTTTAATCAGGATTGAGACCACCTCTTTTAGTCAGACCAAAATTTGGTCTGTTGGTCTCAAACTATGGTCCAAGGCACCTGTTACACTTGTTATTTTTGGTTCGCTGAAAAATCTGAAGGTCTGGATGAAACAAGATTGTTACATTATGTTTTGTGAGGTCACTGTCAACACTTAACTGCCAAATCCAATATGCAAG